GACGTCACCACGGCGCTTGTGCCAGGTTAAGTGCACTTAAGGCCACGTGAAGTGTCGAACGCCCGCTGGCAGGAGGTCACGGGACAGACCCAGGTGCCATGGGTTGACTGACTGAGATGACTGACGGATACACCACCTGTGCCCCCTATTGTGCCAACTTGCTGTGCTTTATCCGCCCGGCGCCCCGCTCGTTGTTGTGAGCGTCGCTCATAACAACGACTGCCTCCAACTGCCCAGTAGCAGCGGCGTCCTTCACGAGCCTCCTCCACAGAGGCCGATCTTGGCACCGCTGGTACCGGTCATCGGCAAGTCCACTTAGCTTCACATCATCTTGTACCGCATCACACCCAACATACACAAACATATACATAAAGGCACAAGGAATACGCAGTGGCACATAAACACGTTCGCGAATAAATACAAGTATTCTGATTCGCGCGCTGAGCTACCGACCAATAACAGTGACGAACATTTGAACCGGTCCCGAACTTCACGAAGGTCGCCTCAGCCTGAATATGATGACCTGGTGCGGCTTAAACATCAGCACTGGGAAGACAAAGGCGGCCGGACGTGATGTTGGCCGCCCACCTTTAGTGTGCCGTGCCAACCTTACTTAGTCGCCAAAAGCATTTGCCCTAGCAGTCTACTAAAGGCTATACGGGGAATCTTTGTCTTTTTTTTGCCTCTTTGTAAATAATATGCGTGGATATCAATGCCTTCAGGGTCAACGGGGATATGTTCGCTTTTTATCGGCTTTAGCGTCACACTCCACGTGTACACATGCGGGAGCGGTGGCGCAGTGGTTATCGCCCTGAGCCCTGGCAAACTGGGTTCGATTCCCGGTCACGGCTGACACCAGCGACCAAAGGCAAAGATCCCCCGTTTATCCTTAACAGGCTGTTGGGGCAAGTGCTGTTAGCGAACACATGATGTAGGCCGCAACGGTACACGAGGGGGTGGGTGGCCAGCACCACACCGAGCCGCCTTTGTCTCCCCAGTGACGATGTTTACTACACACCGCACCAGGTACTCATCTGAGGCTGAGTCGACCTATGGGGAGGCTCTGGACCGGTTCAGATAGTCGTCACCGCTATTGGTCGTGAACGGGAATCGAACCCGGGCTCGCCGAGTTCTTACGCCACCGCAACCACTCGGAACCCACGGCGACAACCCCGCGTTGACGGGCGTGGTGAAGTATGGTCAAACAATCCTACAATGCCGTACACGGAAGTGGAGCGAGGGAGACTTCGTCCAGCAGTGGATCGACAAACGGCTGTAAATGGTCACAGTTCATACTTAATGCGGCGATTATTGTGGCTCGCGTTCGTCTCGTTTCGTATGGGCATTAAAGAAAAAAACGGGTCGAGGTTTTTCTCTGTGAATGATTCCCCCCCCACCACCACCACCACCCCGCAGCTGCCCCGTGCGAGAGCCGCTCGGGGTGAACAAGCGGCACGGACACCGCGTCCCGGGCCTGACCCAACAATTTAGCCGATAACATTCACGGCTAGGAAGCGCGTGCGTGTGTCTCTGTGTGTGCGTCTGTGTGTGTCTGTGTGTGTCTGTGTGTGTATCTGTGTGTGTGTCTGTGTGTGCGTGTCTGTGTGTGTTTGTGTGTGCGTCTGTGTGTGCGTCTGTGTGTGCGTGTCTGTGTGTGCGTGTCTGTGTGTCTGTGTGTGTGTCTGTGTGTGTGTCTGTGTGTGTGTATTTGTGTGTGTATCTGTGCGTGTTTGTCTGTGCGTGCGTGTGTCTGTGTGTGTCTGTGCGTGCGTGTGTGTGCATGTGTCTGTGTGTGCGTGTGTCTCAGCGTGTGTCTGTGCGTGCGTGTGTCTCTGTGTGTGTGTCTGTGCGTGTGTCTGTGTGTGCGTGTCTGTGTGTGCGTGTCTGTGTGTGTCTGTGCGTGCGTGTCTACTTCGCGGGGGAGCGGTAGTGTAGTGGTTAGCGCTACGCTGCGCTACAAACCCGGTGACCCGAGTTCGATTCCCGCTTACGGCCAACAACAGTGACGATTATCTGAATCGGTCCTGGGCCTCCCCTAGGTCGATTCAGTCTCAAATGAGTACCTGGTGTGGTGTGTAAACATCGCTACTGGGGAGACAAAGGCAGCCGGGCGTGATGTTGGCCACCCACCCCCTCGTGTGCCGTTCCGGCCTTCATTGATGCTCGCTAACAGCACTTGCCCCTACAGTCTGTGAAGGCTACACGGGGGCCCTTTCTCTTCGCGGGGAGCGGTGATTATCTAAACGGGTCCTGGGCCTCCCTTAGGTCGACTCAGACTCAAATAAGTACTTCTCGCAAAGTGTAAAAGTTGTACTGACCACGTCACCCCCATCGTGCGCTGTTGCGCGCCTTCATAGGTGCCAGTTTGTTTGACCGTCCACCTGAAATCCATTCCTCATGGAACGCAGATGAAAGGCGTTGTCACGTTGACTGTTTAAGAAGAGTCAGTGGGGGGGCCTTGGGCAGGAGGCGTCGCGGCACTAAAGACGAAGTTGGGCAGCCGAAGTAGGGGAACGCGCACGAGAGGGCAACGTCCATCGCGGAGATGGAGCGATGTGCACGTGCGAGGGTGGATTTCGGGGGCTTGGGGAAGGTGCGTGTGTCTGTGTGTGTGTCTGTGTGTGTGTGTGTATCTGTGTGTGCGTGTGTCTGTGTGTGTCTCATTCGGCAGTGGATGCATCATGGTTGGTCGATGTCGATTACCAAGAAATCCGCGACGTTTGTCGCGATCTTGTTCCTCTTTTCTCGCGCTGCGCCGTGCCGAGAGATGCCGTGGGGTAGCAGCGCAACGTCTGGGGGCACGTCTGGGGGCACGTCTGGGGGCACGTCTGGGGGCACGTCTGGGGGCACGTCTGGGGGCACGTCTGAGGGCACGTCTGGGGGCACGTCTGGGGGCACGTCTGGGGGCACGTCTGGGGGCACGTCTGGGGGCACGTCTGGGGGCACGTCTGGGGGCACGTCTGGGGGCACGGCTGAGGGCACGGCTGAGGGCACGTCTGGGGGCACGTCTGGGGGCACGTCTGGGGGCACGTCTGGGGGCACGTCTGAGGGCACGTCTGGGGGCACGTCTGAGGGCACGTCTGGGGGCACGTCTGAGGGCACGTCTGGGGGCACGTCTGGGGGCACGTCTGGGGGCACGGCTGGGGGCACGTCTGGGGGCACGTCTGGGGGCACGTCTGGGGGCACGTCTGGGGGCACGTCTGGGGGCACGTCTGAGGGCACGTCTGAGGGCACGTCTGGGGGCACGTCTGAGGGCACGTCTGAGGGCACGTCTGGGGGCACGTCTGGGGGCACGTCTGAGGGCACGTCTGGGGGCACGTCTGGGGGCACGTCTGGGGGCACGTCTGGGGACACGTCTGGGGGCACGTCTGGGGGCACGTCTGGGGGCACGTCTGAGGGCACGTCTGAGGGCACGTCTGGGGGCACGTCTGAGGGCACGTCTGAGGGCACGTCTGAGGGCACGTCTGGGGGCACGTCTGAGGGCACGTCTGAGGGCACGTCTGGGGGCACGTCTGAGGGCACGTCTGGGGGCACGTCTGGGGGCACGTCTGAGGGCACGTCTGAGCGCCGTATAAATGCGAATCGTGATCCGGACTGTAATTCATTTTCTACGGGAACTTGAGCCGTGTGCCCGTATACCACCATCACCGCCACTGCCGCCGCCACCACCATCACCATCACCGCCAAATACTCTAATCGCCTGGTGTTGATTCTAAATGTGGAGGGGAAAACCTGAGCACCCTGAGAAGAAAATCCAGGCGACGACGTAGAGAGAGAGAGAGAGCGAGCGAGCGAGAGAACATGCAAACTCCAAATATACAGCAGGTGTCGGGGTCGGGATCGAACCCACAACCTTCCGCATACCAGGCGAGGTAGTCAACGCTAAGGGCCACGGGAGGAAGGTACACCCACAGTCTCGCCACCACGTGTGTTGTTGGAAGGGTGTTCACCACCGGCTGTGTCTGTGTGTTGCTGCCTGCAAACGGCCACTCCGCGGTGGAGATTCTTTAGCATTGGCAGTGACGCCCGATCCCAAAAGTCAACACGTTCCGTGTCATTAACGCAATGATCTTAAGAGGAAACATATACGGTACAATTGGCGACGTTTCGGACAATGACCCTTCCTCATCGCAGAAATGCTACGGAGAAGGGTAATTGTCCCACTACACAGTATAATCATCAGTATTGGCAATGGTCGATCCACTGCTGGATGAAAGGCTGAGTTCATAGCTCCATCTCCTGAAAACTGCTCTTTGTGTTTACTTTCTTGTCCTTCCCCCACACCTCCGATCAGCACGGTTGGCTACGTACGTATGTATGTTATTGAACTTCTTTCGCGCCGTACGTAGACACCCGTGCTCATCAGGGGTGTGATTGAACTTATTTTGCGCCGTACGTAAGTGAAGGACAAAGAACTAAACACACACAAAAAAAACTGTTCTAAAGAATCTTGATTTGAAGCTTTCGTAACTGCAGGAATCCATACTCTTTGGTTCTTTCGGTAAAATTCACGTGGGTATAAAATAAAATGAATCACGACGTTTCGGGCGCAACAACACAAGCGTCCGTCATCAGGTGGGAAAGCCATGATGACGGACGCTTGTGTTGCGCCCGAAACGTCGTGATTTGCTTTATTTTATACCTACGTGGTTTTACCGAAAGAACCAAAGAGTATGGTTCTAAAGAAATTAGTCTGTCAATCTGGATTTAAAAGTGCAGAGCTCCAGTGGCTTCCTACTATCGGAAGAGCGTTCCAGACGGCCGCAGAAGCGCATCTGAAAGCGCTCGGTGCGGTAGCCGTCTTTGTTCGATGGCGAGCCAAAAGTGCAGTGCCATAGAAGCTCAACATACATACGTGCCAGTGTTTTATATATATATACACACACAGTTGTTTGCTGTTCGGGTCGCGCTACTGGGGAGTGTGTTTACCATGTGTACAAGCACAACAACAACAACAACGCCTCGCTAAGGGGTTGCCGTTCTCTCTCTGTGTGCCTCAGCCCGAGGCGAGCCACGGCTACGCTCAAACTCAGCGCCGAGGTGTCAGAAGATGCCCGTCCGGGATCTCCCGTCGCGCGGATTCCACAGGGCAGGTTCCTCCGAGCCAGATTCGAGCTCGTGTCTGAGCCCCAAGGACACGGCCACCATCACCACCAGCAGCAGCAGCAGCACCCGTGGCTCACGCAGCTGCCTGCCGACCAGACGGGCACTCACCCGGCACATGCCCTGGCCGTGGATGGGGCCACGGGGCAGGTCGTGACGGCGAGGACCTTGGACCGGGAGACGGAGCCGCAGGTGTCCTGCACGGTGCGGGTTCGAGATTCGAACGGTGAGACGGATTTTTCATTGTGGGGCGGGCAAAGGCGCAGCACTGGAATTTCGAGCGCACGCCACTGTTGGCAGAAGGCCTCCCGCTATGGGGGGTATTTTGGTCTACTCTTTCACGCCGGACAGACGTCTTGGGAGGAATGAGAATACCCACACTCTAGGCCACCACACGCGACTTGCCCGATTGACTGTGAGTTGTATTACCATAAATTAGCAATTCGAATGTAGTCCACCCCCCCATGTCACGTCGTTAATGCCATGCCAGAAGCAACAGCGGCAGCAGCAGCAGCATCATTAACATAATCACAATCACTTGCAGTTGTAGCATCAATATCAATATCACCGTCAGCATCATCATCATCGTTATGTCTCATTTAAAGCTCCCGCTGAGATTCAAGTTTCTTTTTCAGGAGCGGTGTTGCCTGGGCCGCCTGCTTACGTGTTCGTTTTGGGCGGGTTTTTCTTTTCTTCACTATTAGCAGCAGCCTCGGATTATGTCGAACAGAGGCGGGCATTGAACTGTGAGCAATTGGCACAGGGGCCGCCCGAGCGAGTTGCCTTCAAAAGAGCGATCGATTAGAGAGAGAGAGAGCGAGCGAGCGAGCGAACAGGCGCCTCTTTGGTCGGGTGCGCTTATTTGAAACGTCGCCCAAAAGAGACGCGCCAGAGACACCGCGGGGTTATGAAATAAACAACGCAGAGGCCAAGATCGCGCCACTCTATATATACTTTGCCAACTTTGGAACTCTCCGCGTAACTTGCGCCTCAGCTTGTGGATAATTGCGAGCCTTTTAAGATTCTGTTTGTTCGTGGCAATCTTGTAATGGAATCCCACTGATAACAGTGTGCATGCAGCTGATGGTATAAAACCATTTTTTTTTAAATATATATAAATCTCGCGTACTACGCGTGTTTGTATTCTTGTTACAAACAAACGTTAACAAAGACAAAGATCCCCCGTATAGCCTTTAACAGGCTGTTGGGACAAGTGCTGTTAGCGAGCACCTATGAAGGCCGGTACGGCACACGAGGAAGGTCGTGGCCAGCACCACGCCCGGCCGCCTTTCTCGCCCTTGATTTTACATCACCCCAGGAACTCATTTAAGGCCGAGTCGACCTAGGGCAGGCCCAGGACCGGTTCAGATAATCGCCAATGTTATTGGTCGTGAGCGGGAATCGTACTCGGATCGGGGTGATTGGTAGCGCAAAGCGCTGAACATTACACTACCGCTCCCCACACTCACACAGATATTAACACACAAAGACAAAGATCCCGCGTATAGCCTTCACAAACTGTTGGGACAAGTGCCATTAGCGAGCATCTATGAAGACCGGCACGGCACACGAGGGGGTGGGCGGTCAGCAGGACCACGCCGGGCCTCCTTTGTCTCCCCATCGGCGATGTTTACACCCAGCCACCGGGTATTCCATTTTGAGGCTGAGTCAGTCACACGTACACACACACACGCGCGCACGCTCCAACACACACACACTGCTGGTGGCTTGGATGCTCCCTCCACGTGTCCCAGGTGTTCTCTGTCCCTCCTGAGTCCCCCACCCCCGCCACTCCTTCCGTGCCCCCACGCAGTCACGCGGAATGAAACGAGAGCGACAGACAAGGCCGGGTCGCTGAGCGGAGAGCAGGGATGTGGGAATGTATTGTTAAATGTCAAGACACGCACACACACATACACACGTGTATGTGTGTGTGCGTGTCCACACGCCAATACAGAACATGTATACATACACGTGTATATGTGTATGCATCCACCCACTACAATACAAGACATCCATACATACCACACATGTATACGTACGCCAAACAAACATACTCGGGCTGTTAAAACATGTTGAAATTGCGTCACCGGTAACCGCTTACAGAAAAAAAACCGGTTAAAACGGTTACCGGTTTGTCGCATGAATCGAAATGTATCTAGCGATTCACGTAGCGTTGTTTAACTTTTCAACTGCAAAAAATGTTAAGGCAAACGTGCCACGCGGTGACTTACGCCGCCGTGCCGTTTGTACGTTCGCCCGTGCCGCTCGGGTCGTGCATTCACGACTAAGACTCCACCGGAAATTGATGCCGGCTTTCCCACTCATCGGTTCTGAAAGCGGTTAGCGGTTTTTGTTTTAGCGGTTATCACTCGACGATCCTGGCCGCCCCCACCCCCAATACAAACCAACGTGTAAGGAAAAAACGGACGCGGATAATGAAACACGATTTTCAAATCGCGGATTCCACAATCCCCCTCCACCGTTGCGCACAGCCACAACCAAGGGGGGTTGTTCATTGCCTTCTAGGGTGAGTGACAACGCGGATAAAACTTTTTCTCTATCCTCTCTCTCCCTGACTCTCTCTCTCTCCTCCCTTCTCATCCAAGCCGAATGCAATAACGGCAAGCGGGAGAAAACTCAACACAAGAAGACAAAGCGATGCAATAAATGAATCGAAGGCCCCTTCTCTGGAAGCTCTTCGCACGGGACACACAAAGGCTCGCCGATGCGATGGGTATTAGGCGGAGAGCTCATTACGATGGGATTAGAGAGCTCTTCTCGAGAAGGGATGTTAGCTGCCGCCGCCGCTGCTGCAACTGCTCCAGGTTCTCATTGCCGAGTCACTCACTCAAAAGCCGGGGCTGACTGGCCTGCCTCTTTAAACTAAATTGTTACATTTTTTTTATATTACCAGGTAAGACCCACACTGAGCTATATAACTCTTTTATTTTTAGAAGTGACCTAAATATCACATATGATAGCTCAACGGAGTGGCTTATTGCGTGGAAATTTACAGCAACCAAACGTTATAAAACGCGTGTTGGTTTTAAATGTGGAGGGAAAAAGCGGAGGACCCGGAAACAAATCCACGGGACAACGAGGAGAGAGACACACATGCAAACTCCAAATTCTACAGCAGGCGTGAGGGTCGGGATCGAACCCACGATCTCCTGCATACCAGGCGAGGTAGTTAACATCTCCTAGCCACCGCGTCTGCCTGCACGCCTGCCGCAAGACGAGAGAAGGGGAAGGGAGAAGAATAAATAGACGAGGCACAACAACTCCGCAGCGACGATGTGGAATTCAGGGTTGAGCGGTGGTGCAGTGGTTAGCGCACTGCGCGCGCATTGCACGAACCTCGCGATTTGAGTTCTGTCGATGGTTCCCCTGGCACGGCTACCGAGGAAGGGGATGGTCTTCAATACCCAACCCCTTGGCACCCTGTAAATGAGTGTCTCATTGGTACGTACGAGAGAAAATTAATGGAATTGTTGATGTGTATTGAGCCCTATTTATAAATCTTGAGATTCCGGGAGAGCTTCAGCTCTCCTCGGAAGCTTCTAGACCCAACACTGGGCTAACATCAGCGGCGGGGGATCTCTGATACGGTTCTAGGTCGACTCAGCCTTAAACCAGTACCAGTCTTGTTGTGTGTGAACATCGGCGCTCGGGGGAAACAGAGGCGTCCGGCCGTGTTCATGGCCACACCGCCACTTCCTTGTGCGCCTCTCCGACCTTAATAGGTGCTCGCCAACATTACAATCCTCGACAGCTGGAGTGGCTATAGGGGGATATCTTTCTTGGTTCGTTTATACGCCTCTGGAATTAACAGTGCACTGTATAAACCAGGTGGGGTGTATATGTGAGCCTTGAGTGGTATTTAAATCCTTAGATTCATACCGGTGACTTATTGTGCCTCTCTGATCCTCGGCTATTAACGCTGAACTATAACAACCCTAAAGGTGTCTCTGTGAGACTCACCTCGAAACAGAGACCCCCCCCCCCCCCCCCCCCCCAAAGGAATCCCAAACGTAAATTGATCTATGCGAGTCTTGGATAACAATAATGTACCCTCCGAATCCTGAATTTGCCTATCTGAGCCTTGGGTATTCATCGTGAACTTTACAAATCCTAAAAAGGCTTTAGTCTGGACCTCTGACAGCATAATACAAACAGTAGTGGGTGTTAGCCACATATATAACAGTCATCATAATTGTGTCTAGTTTGATATAACGCATCGTCGCTTTGGAACCACAGACATAGCTCCCAAAGTAGCAGCCAGGCTGAGCCGGCGCTACCAACAATTGCCCAAGCTCTGCAGTTCTCTATATACGAGGATGTTTTCAGCCGATTAATGAGCGTTTATTCGGAATGATCTCCAGTCCTAGTTCACAAACTCAACGAGCACGTGGGCTTGGGCAGGACACGTGGTGGCTACAAGAGGGGACGATGGGCAATGGACGAGACTGACATTGGAATGGCAGCTAGGGAAGAGAATTTCTCCCCGCGATTGTAGGGTGCCGAGGTGGCGAGACGTTCACTACCTCGCCTGGTATACAGAAGGTCGTGGGTTTGATCTCGACCCTGACGTCTTTATATATACTTGGATATTGCATGTTCTTCCCGTGGCCGCGTGGATTTTTCTCCGGGTCATCCGGTTTTTCCCTCCACATTTATAATCGACATCACGCGTTTCGAGTATTTCGCTGCGATAAATGTCCACAGTATACGCCACTTCATTGGGCTATCGTTTGTGGCCATGTCGCTTCTGAAAAAGAGCGAAATAACTCGCTGGGCCTTACCTGGTAAAATAAATTTTAAAAAAATAGGTTAAGATTATAACACTGAAACCTAATAATCCTGAATGTGTCTTATTAGTCTGGCTCAATGGGTGTTTGTGCACAAGTCGCCTGCTATGACGATGGTTCCTAGCCGTGTACAGATTCAGCCACGGGCGTCCTCACGGAACACTCAGAACATCCGAGGTGGCCGGAAGGAAGTGGTATATATATTAATCGTTTGATGCACTTCTATGAACCCATTGAAGTTTGATTCAATTTGATTTGATAAATGCCACCGAAACATGATGTAATTCGACGTGAAAAGTCGCGCCGCAAACGCAATAAGCTCGGACGTGAACCGTATGATGAGATGTGACGTGAAGAATATTAAACTTGACGTGACTAAAACTGACCTGGAAATATCAACGGGGATATGATGATG